GGGGATCTTCAAAATCTGGGCACTTCTAAAGGGCACTAGGCAAAAAAGAGTCCTCAGTCTGTTCTGGGCAGATTGAATGGAGTTGAACTCTCTGGTCAAACTCAGTGTCTTCCTGAGGTTTCACTTTTTAGCAACAACACAACACAGATTTCAAGAGACAGGGAGGCCTTGGCTTGGCTGTTCCTCAGCATCTTTTTACAGAGAGAGACAGAACGACAGAGAGTCATTGCATCTCTTTTATCACCTGAAGGGAATCAATGAATCGATATGCTTGTAAGAGGGTCTCCTGATGAAAAAGTGCTCTAAACAAGGGCTGGGTTACTGTGGCAGGGTCTTCCAGAGCATCAGGACTCATTTGTGTGTGTTCAGATTGGTTTAGAGCTTTTCAAAATGTTGATATGCTTCGTCCTGTACATGCTAACAAACACATCAACCACAGGCCTCGAGTCAAGGAGAATTAATAGGCATTCACTACTTTGGACCCCCTAAGTCAAACTCAGAGTGTGCTTACTAACGTAGCACACACTACTATATAGCGTACCTCATGTAATTATCATGTCACATGCACAGTATAGGGATGGAAAGTATGGTTACTTCTGTTACTTAATACATTTGTTTTAAATTTTCATGGCATTGTTTAACTAAAAGCAACTGCATACAGTATTTGGCGCACTGTCACATGTAATCAAGAGATAATGTCAATGGAATTGCATGTTGTCACAGGATAACAGCCTCCCGCTGTTGCTGAAATGCCAAATTGAAGCCGAGGCATTTATGGAAAATAAACGTCAAGTCAAAGCCAAGATGTTTATTTTAAAAACAAGAGACATGGATCTTGTGGCAATGTTCCATCATGTCTCTATTTCTCTAATAACAAATGTCCAGTGTGAATAGAGCCAAGTGACAGTTTCTTCCTGGGACAACACAGAGAGGGTGAAGCCTGATCACTTCACATGAAGACTTGCAGAGTTGTTTCTCATCTGCTTTCCTTCAGTTCAGGTTTTAGTCAAACTGTCCAGGTAACCAACACAAAATGGCTTCTCAGATGTATGCTAAGTTTACAAAGGGATTTAGGAGCACAGCAGGAAGAAAAAGGGACAGCAAATGCATTTTTAATTTGCTTTTACATAGATCTTTTTCTCCAGAGAAAGAATGACAATAACATGAAGCTCATGGAAGTCAATGGGAAGCCTTCCAGGCATTTCAATGAGCTTTGACTAATGTCTTAAGAGAACAAACAGTTAATATTTTAAGAGGATATTATGTTAATAATCGTGGTGCCTGAATTTGATTGCAATGAGGGAATGACTGGACCAAGGCTGGACAAGGAAGACAAGTTCCTTCTGGGTCATAAGTGGCAGCACGGTCACCCCTTGCTCCTGGCAGGCAACTGCTCATCCCAGCTGCTGGCCCACAGGAGATTTCTGCTCTGTCCACGCCAGCCTCACAGCCACAGAGAAACTGCTCCTTCACTTCAGTTCTCCAGTAAAGCTTCCTTAAATCCAACTGGTTACCCAGTAACAAAGATGACTGACAGTTTATTTTTCTTTGCATGGGGAAAACTGGTTACTCGTCAAGACCCAAGTTGCTGAGATATGGTAAGAAGCCATGTTAAAGCTAAAAGTAAGAGCTGTAAAAGGAACTGCTCCTACTTCAGTTCTCCAGTAAAGCTTCCTTAAATCCAACTGGTTACCCAGTAACAAAGATGACAGTTTATTTTTCTTTGCATGGGGAAAACTGGTTACTCGTCAAGACCCAAGTTGCTGAGATATGGTAAGAAGCCATGTTAAAGCTAAAAGTAAGAGCTGTAAAAGGCCAAATCTTAGACATGATGCAATCTGATTCAACATTGAGAATTAGAGTTTTGTCAAACCTAACTATAAAAGCCCCAGTGATGAGACATCCACTGCTACTCCTGGCAACCTAATGGGTTTGATGTCCTAAGAGCTCTTTCAGATATTCATACCAAATTTTCCCTTTCATCACATTACCACTCATTAAATCTCCTTGTATTCATCTAAATTATGGCTCTCCCTCCCTGACAATTTTTTCTTCCTCCAACTACATTAAGAGATTATGTCTTCAACAAGCTTAAACTGCCTCTTCACTCTCCTCATCTGCTAACCCCACCATCCTTCTTCAAACGTTCATCACCTCTCTGCCAACATCCTCCCTCTCCAGCCAACTTTGTAGGCCATGTAAGAGTGCCAAGACACAGTACGCAGAGCTCAGAGCATCCCTGGAGATCCAGGGATGGGCTCCAGCAGCAAGTCACCTGCCTGTCCCCAGGACCCAGAGCTGGCAACAGCAAATCCACTGCCCCCAGTGCTGCCCCAGCCACTGCAACACCAAAGGAAGGGGTTAGCCCCAGTGCCCAGCCCCATTCCCAGTCTCCTGCCCCACTGCTGGTGCTGCTGACATTCCCCAGGGCAGTGCCGTGTATGTAGATGCATACCCATGCAATAGGACTCTCATCTTGCAATCTGTTTTGCATGGAGAGAGGCAAGAGGACAAGCAGGAAGCTGTGCAGAGCATCTCAAAGGACGGGGTTTAAAAATATACCTAGATAACCCACTTCAGTTCCTGAAATGTTGAAGCTTCACAGCTCATGCCAACAGGGTTCCTCAAATGCAATATATTTTGATTTTCATTGGCTCTATCCATTATCCTCTATGCAATATAAGACTGATCTGTCCTAATAACTACTGAGAGTTTGGGCTTTTTTTTTTTTAATTATTTCCAAAGGAAGAAATAAGTTAGTTGCTCATTAAAAACTGTGATCTGGAGAGCAAGTTGAAACAAACCATTTCAGTTCTGGAAGCTCTTCTCTTGACCTGACATCTTTCAATAATATGCAGACAAAGACCTATATTAAAATTGTGTTAAGGAGCTGTCTGAAATAAAAAAAAAAAACAAGGAAATTTTGAGTTAAAGGAGATTTGCAAAAGGTAACGCTCTGAAAGGAGTTAAGCCTACGGTGATTATTTGGCTGCTCCGTGCTGCAAGGGCCAGAGGGATGTTCTGTACAGAAATCGTAAAATTTTTTCCTTTGGAGATGCATTGTTTCCCAAAGACATTCTGGCTCCAGCTCTGATCTGGCATTCCAGATTGACGCTTGTTGAACCAACAAAGATACTGGGAAGCAATGCACGATTATGCATCTTCTGGTTTATTGCATACTTGCTAGTAATTTCCTTTACTTCTTCAACCTTTAAGCTTACAATGAGATGAGGATCTCCAGCTGGAGATCTGATAGGACAACTTGATAGGCAAAGAGCCGGCATTTGATTAGGTTACAGTATTTATTAACGGTATAAGGATACTATAGCAGTAATGGATCTGAACAGACAAAGAGCCAGCATTTGATTAGGTTACAGTATTAATGGTATAAGGATACTATAGCAGTAATGGATCTGAACAGATGACAGATGGATGATGCTCCAGGAATAGCAAGCAAAACAGCTACATGGCACCCCCAGCACTGCTTCCCACTGTCAGTGTCATCTTGGGAAAAGTATTTAAGATTTTATCAGATTTTAATCTCGTTGATTTTGCGCTAAAATGGACTATGCACATTCACAAAATCCATCCGAGCGTCTCAGCTGTGAAGGCTTTGGTGTGGTGATGCACCACAGGGCTTGTACTTCCTTTAAGTGTTCCAGCTAGATGTAGAAAATTAAAAAAATATTTCTATCCCAAAGCTCCACTGTCCTAACCTGGTTTCATATTATTATTTTTTTAAATCAGAATTACAGATACCAGTCCTGGACAAATATTCTCATCCGCAATCCTTCTGTTTTTCATTCAGCATAAGGTCTCCCTCTGTTCTGGAAGATGCCATGCCTCCCGCCCTTCCCACCAAAGAGGGTTGCACTTTGGTCCAGCAGATGACAAGCAGCAAAGCAAAGTCCATGGGAACGCGAGTGAATGGTTTGCTAAGCAGCAGGTCTGCGCTGGTGTGTGGCCTTTATTCAGGGTTAAATAAGCAGCATGTAAATAAATAAATAACTTGCTCCTAGGTTGCGACCTTGTAAATCAAGTCTAAGCCTGGAAGGGATTTTTATGGTCCGGCTGGAACAGCAAAGCAGTCTTTGCAGAATAAATACATATAGGGGAAAAAAAAATAACTGTGCCTTCCAGTTGCTCCCAGACTGCTGTGGGGAACGTTTGGTGCTGCTGTAAGACATGCTGATTAAAAAAAAGGAGAGAGGGGACCTCGCTCTCATTTACCCAACAGCTGTTTCACTTTATTTTAAGAGGTTTAAAAGAGGAGTAAAACAGTTAAATGTACCCAAGAGTAATCTGCCAGCTTCGCAGCCGAATAGAGGGCTGAGCAAGTAAATGAAAATCCAGCCCAACTAGTTCCTAGCAGCAGGTTTCATGGAAGTGGATGGGAGCTGGGCAGGGATTTGCTCAGAGTCTGTTATCTGGGCATTACAGCCCCGGGATGCTTCATGTGCTTTATTGCTCATTACCAAATAACAGTACTAATACTTAAAGCAGTCCCTAGATTTAGCGTGGTTTGACCAGACTGGGTAAATAAAAGCTACTGCCTGCGTTTTAAAAAGTCCAGAGGGACCTGTCCGATGCAACAGAGGAAAACCAGAAACAGGAGCTGGGACTTCCACCTCCCAGCCGGGCAGTGGCTTGGTCCGGCAGGGCTGGGGAAGCCGGAGCAAACAGGGCTTGTGACGGGGAGATGCACGGGACAAGCCACAGCCGCAGCCCCTGCACGGAGCTGGTAGCACCGTCCCTTGAGCCTGGGGTCTCGGCCAGGGGATCTCTGAGGGTGCCCGGGATGGGGCAGGAGACACTGGTGACGGAGGGCTGCAAGCGTGGGGCTTGTCCCCGATGGGGGCGTCCCATGGGAGGGTGTCCATTGCTTTTCAATGAGAATGATGCCGACGGTGCTGCTGTTTGGTATTTTACGCTTTCCAGGTGTAAAGAGGGGGAGCACCTGCTCCAGCAGCGGGCACGGGTGTGCCTGGCAATGGAGGGCAATGGAGGCGTGCAGGGTATCTCTGGCACGGGATGTGTCCCCCAGCACTTACGCCGTCTTCCAAACGCTGGGGATTCAGAGCCCACCTGACTCGGGGCTGCAGGGGAGGTGACGAAGCCTAGCTTTGGACCAGGGTCGCAGTGAATATTTGGGCTACAAACCTGCCTTTTCCCAAGCCCCGTTCCGGAGCGTGCTACAGCTGCTGACTGACTGCCCTGTTGCTGCCAGCCCGCTCCCACCAAGCATCGGAGGGCGCACCGAGCACCGGCAGCAACGGCACGGAGGGGTTCC